CTCTCTTAATCAGTCTTGGCTTGAAATCCATTTTGTCAGCAAATAGGGTAGCTACCCCTGCTTTTTTCTGGGTTCCTTCCACATGGAATATTGTTTCTCATCCTTTGCCTTTCAGTCTATGAATTTCTTTTTAGGTTAAAAGTTTCTTGTATGCAGCAGATTGTTGGATCTTGTTTCTTGATCTGTTCTGCCAATCTGTTTCTTTTAATTGGTGAATTGAGACCACTCACACTGATGGTTATAACAGATATGTACTGACTTATCCTTGCCATATTATTTTCCTGTTGTTAGTTCTCTTTCTTTCCCTTCTTTTAATTGCTTGCCTTGCCATGGATTCATTCTTTTGGGATTCATGGAATTGTTGTCTTCATTATCTTTTTCTAGACTATCCTTCAGCACTTTTTAGACTGCTGGTTTGGTAATCATGATTTCTTCAGGTATTCTTTATCATAGAAGTATCTTGTTTCTCCATTAATTTGAATGATAATTTTGTGGGGTACATCAACTGGGTTGGAGGTTATTTTCTTTAAGGGCTTGAAATACTTCCCTCCAATCTCTCCTTGACTTGAGGGTTTGTGTTGTGAAGTCTCACATTGATTCTGAGGGGTTATACTTTATAGATGATTTATTTTTTTTCTCTAACAACTTTCAATATTCTGCTCTTGTCTTGGGTTTCTGAGATCTTGACAGATCTATTATATGTGGTGGTATCCTTTTTTATCATGACTGTTGGAGTTCTATATACCTCACTTACTGTAAGTCAAATTCTTTTTCCATGCTTGGGAAATTTTCTGCTATTATTTCTGTGAACATTTTTTTTTCCCCTTCATGCTATCTTCTGATTTTTCATTTATTCTTGTTAGACTTAAGTTATTCTTCCTTATATTATCTAGCAGTTGTTGAATTGATTTTTTTGTGGTTCTTTGCTATGTTTAAGAAGTTTTTCATTTAATGATTGCTAACTGCAACCCTGTCTTCTAGATCTGATATTCTATCTTCACATTGGTTGATTCTGCTGCATATACTTTCAATAGAATTTTTAATCTCTGGATATCTGTTTGAATCTGTTTTATGGAATCCAGTTCTTCCCTATGTTGGACATTCACAGTTTCCATCACTAAGCTCTTTTAATTTCTTATCTGTAGCTGTATTGTATGCAAGCTACCTGCTCCAGGGCGAATGAAGCACTCACATCCACAATTCCAACATTGGACCATGAGTCAATCACAAACTCTAGCAGCCCACCACATGACTGCATGAGGCTTTGGGGGGCCATCCAGACATGAACCATAACAATTTTATATAGTAAATGTCCACTCAATAAGGTAATATTATCCTTCAGGGAGAAAATTTTAAAAGGATAAGAGGAAAAAGTAGAGAAATAAAAGAAGAGAAAGATTAAAGCAAGGCTGAAGGACAAAGGAAGATTACTCATGCTTTGGGAAACTGGTGAAGAAGACAGGAGGAAAAGAAGAAGGAAAAAAACAACAGCAAAGCAGAACAAAGAAACTAACGCCAAATGTTCACACTCATGAAAAAAACAAAACAAATAAGGAAAAAAACCACCAAAAAGCAAAGTAAAAAAGAGATTTCTCTGCAATTTCAAGGCTGTGGTTATCGTCTATGGTCTACAGTTTTGTAGTAGTGTCCAATTCAGGTCATATCTCTGTTGTCACTGGTAGACAAAGAAGGTAAACAGAGCCCAGATCTGTGCTAGATTTTTGTTTAAGTGGAGGAAGAGCCAGCAAGGAGAAAAACAAGTGATGACCAGAAACAAACTTGTTAGCTGAGTGTGCACAACCTTTTGGAGAAAGTTGATGGTGAAGTGGGTGGAAGATTTATCAGAAGTTGTTCTTGTGCCTCCAGAGAGCAAGAAGGTGTCCGTGTGAGGAAAGAAATCTTATAGAGAGCCCTTCCCAGTCCTCCTCACAGCCCAGGAAGTTTGCATTTGGAATCCGATGAAAAGTTATTGGAATTCTAGCAAGTCAATTCCAAGCTACCATTTCCAGTGCAATGGCGAGAATAAAGACACTAAGGCATATTTGTTGTTATGCAGAGCCAAGGGGTCTTAAGTCTGGCCATGATGATGGCTCTCCGGAACAAAAGCCTATACCCAGGACCAAACCCAGATTTTATTCATTTGTGAATAAGGGAGTGGCTTGAGAATGAGTGACTGTGAGAGTGGCAGGAAATACATGAGTGCCATGAGCAGGGGGTCAGGGACTCACGCCTACCATATCCAAAGATTACTATCAGCACCTCAGCTAGACCGATATGCATTGCTTAAAGCCAACTGAAGGGATAAGGAAAGGTCCCAGCCAGCTCTGTACCCATCAATACTTGGAAATAGGGTCAGGCTCAGCCAAAATGGAGCCAATTGCTTCTCTTTCAAGGAGAGTCACCTAGGTGGTCCTCCACACAAACCTTGTGAAGCCTTACTCTCAAGCAGATCAGAGGAGGTGGCAGGTATAGAGGTGTCTGCAGGGAGGGCAAGGATGAAAAATCATGGGTGCAGATGTAGCTCTTGGCGCTAGCTCATGCGCTGGGGAAGAAGAGCCTTATGCAGTATGTGGCACAGAGCAGAGGTCAGTGTGGGGCTAGAGCCAGCTTCTTATATAACCTATTATTGCTGCTGCAAGGTCACTGAAAGATATGATTCTCACCACAGCCTGAAGAAACTGTGACTAGGAAACTCAACCAAACACTTGTCTCCTTCCTGTCCATCTTCTTGCTTCCCCAACACCAGAAAAACACACACATAACCGACCTTCTCATCGTGGCCACTGGCATGGTGGAGAGAGCATAGGCTTTGTGGTCAAGCCGCCCTGTGCAGGATTGGGCATATGGTCTCTTTTACCGGGAGGGCTGGAAAGGCCTTCAACTTCGGGCAGCTGGAAGTGTGTGGACCCATTCCCAGACCCAGCGTCTGGCACATCAGTCATGCAGGCTCAGAGACTCACAGCTACCTCTACCCTCAGGAACCGTACTGGAGCTAGAGTTACAGAGGAAAGTTGGGCCACAGTGACCTGGCTGATTTCCAGCCCTGGAGTCCCCAGGCCCTCCTCAGTTGCCCACTGGACCATCAGGTCTTCAGCCAACCTTGGGGCAGAGAGGCGAGTACAGGGCACTGCAGTGCACGGAGCGCATTTGTTTTGTGACTAACTGGGGAGGTCCTCCTAAGCAGCCCAGCAGCTCTGACCTTTGTCCTATTCCAGGAATTGGCTGCTGGCCCAGTGGCTGGCCTTGGACCTTGGAGCATGAGAGCTGAGTCTGATCCCTGCTTAGGTTCTTGGCCAGGAGTCTGGCCTCCTAGCACGCCTTAGATACGCCCCATCAGGTGTGCAGAGCCACTGGAATTTTTGGAACGTCTTCAGCTCAATCGGGCTTCAACATAGAAGGTTTTGTCTCCCCCAGAGAGTGCTGTTTGCCCTTACAGACCTGGGTCAGCGGTCCACTCCCACGGGCCCTCCCCACCTTAGGCAGGTGCCCATCCGTGAGCTCCCACAGCGCCCCCTGCTCTCCTCTTGGGTGGCCCACTTTGCTGGGAGGTTTTTCTCTGGCCCATGTAGGCGCTCAGGAGATGCTTGGGCAGTGCCTACTGAGTGAGTGAACTCTCAACCCAGGCTCGCTTTTCTCCTTAGTTTCCTCATCTCTAAGTTTGCCAGCAATTGAGCCAAAGCTTTCCTTCAGAAGAGCAGAGGAGGCAGCCTTCGGAGAATCCCAGGTATCTGTGTCTGACCACCAGCTGTGTAAGTGCCATTTCTGAGAAGACATCTTGTTGGAGATGTAAGCTTTGTATGTGGAAGCAGTACCCATATACCTTTCCACTCCTGTATAGATGCTGTCTCAGCTCTGCTGAGGGCACTGGGCTATGGCACCAGTCAGAGCCCCCGAGGGGACCTCTGTTGATAGAAGAAGCCAGTGAGGGGTTGACAAACAGACAATCAGTGTCTCCTGTGCACCTTCCTCATGGCCCGCAGTGAATGGAAAGGGGCACAAACAGCAGGTTCCACAGCAAGCCCTTGGCCAGTAGACTGACTTTCTCAAGCTCCCTTCCTGGACTCAGAGTAGTGAGGTCCTCTCAGGTCTGGAGCAGAGAGAAAAGCTCCCTTAATGGGAAGAGAATGGGTTCCCTAGATGTATATAGCTGGTTCCAAGCCATCAGGGTTCGCACATGCACACACACACACACACACACACACACACGCACACACACACACAAATCCTCAGGCAATCAAATCCTCAAGATGCCACTTCACCCTCACTAGGATGGTGCTAATACAAAAAGACACACAATAACGTGCTGGGGGCAACGCGGAGGCTGTAGATCCCTCAGACATTGTAGGTGGGAGTGCAGAAGGGTGCAGCTGCTTTGGAAAACAAATCATTGTATTTTCAAAACGAATTACCCCTATGACCCAGCAATTCCACCCTGAGACATATATCCAAGAGAGAAATGAGAATTTATGTTCCTACAGAGACTTGTACAGGGATGCTCACGGCAATTTTATTCATCATAGTCTAAAATGGACACCTAAATATTCATCAGCGGGTCCATGTATAATCAAAATGTCGTATGTACCTACACTAGAATATTATTCAGTCACGAAAAGCACTACATACTGCTACATGGAGGGACACATATGGACCATAACAACATTGTGCTTGCAGAAAGAAACTAGTTATAAAAGACCACATGTTGTACGGTTCCATTTATAGAAACGTCCTGAATAGGTAAATCCATGGAGACTGCAAAGTAGATTAGTGGTTTCCAAGGCTGGGGCGGGGAGAACAAGGAGTGACTACTACACTGGCGGGGTGACTACAGTGTTCCGGGGTTAGATCACAGTGATGGTGCGCAGCTTCGTGAATGTGCTTTAAGCCCCTGAGTCCCACGCTTAAAAGGTGGAATTCTATGGTATGTGAGTTATAATCTCAATTTTTTAAATGGGAGGAAAATGACACGGATGGAGAGCAGTGAGGGGAACTGAAACACGCAAGCTTGTTCCCTTCGCGCCCTACCAAACGACCTTTGGGCCGCGGCGGGTGCACCCGGAGGGCTGAGAGGGAAGGGACGCCGGCGGCAGGACCCAGGGAAAAGACGTCTCAGGGTTGCCCGGGGACGCGGTCACGGTGGCGGCCGGGATCGCCCAGGACGCCTGGGACGGAGGCGGAGTCCGAAGGCTCGGAAGCTGGCCGGGCCCCGCGGAGATTTAAAGGCTGCAGCGCCAAGCTTTTACAGGAGGACGGAGCGAATTCGCACTTGGCAACCCTGGGATCGGATCCCGGTACGCGCGCGGGCCCAAGGGGGACGCAGCGGCGGGGCCGTGGCCGCGTGGCCCGCCGTCAGGATGGTCCGGGGTCCGGGTCCGGGTCCGGGTCCGGGGTCTGGGGTCCGGGGTCCGGATGGTCTGCGGTC